AGGTTATCACCATATTCCGATAGAACCATCGAATGTGCGAAAGACGGCCTTCCGGACGAGATACGGCCATTATGAATTTGTGGTGATGCCGTTTGGTCTAACCAATGCACCGGCAACCTTCATGAAGATGATGAATGACATTTTCCGAGAATTTCTAGACGAGTTTGTGATCATCTTCATTGATGACATACTCGTTTATTCTAAGGATCGGGAAACTCATCGAAATCATATAAGGACGGTGTTAGAGCGGTTAAGGGAACAAAAGCTATTTGCAAAGTTGAGTAAGTGCTCGTTTTGGCAAAGGAGCATCGGATTCCTCGGACATATTATTTCGGATCAAGGAGTATCCGTGGATCCGGAGAAGATAAGATCTATTAAGGAATGGCCACGACCAAAGAATGCAACCGAGATTAAAAGTTTTCTCGGGTTGGCCGGCTACTATAGAAGATTTGTGAAGGGATTCGCGAGCATGGCTCAGCCTATGACTCGATTAACCGGAAAGGATACAAAGTTCAAATGGTCGGAGGAGTGTGAGAAAACTTTCTCCGAGTTAAAGTCAATGTTGACGAGTGCTCCGGTGCTAACCTTGCCGGAAGCGAACAAACCATACATAGTGTATATGGATGCATCGATAATGGGTTTAGTTTGCGTCCTAATGCAAATGGGTAGGGTGATCGCATATGCATCACGGCAATTACGTAAGCACGAAGGCAATTACCCTACACACGATTTGGAGATGGCGGCTGTAGTATTTGCTTTAAAAATTTGGCGATCGTACCTTTACGGTGCTAAGGTCCAAATTTTCACCGATCACAAGAGCCTCAAATACATATTCACCCAGCCAGAGTTAAACCTTCGGCAAAGAAGGTGGATGGAGTTGGTAGCGGACTATGATTTGGATATCGCTTACCATCCGGGAAAGGCAAACTAAGTAGCGGATGCCTTAAGTCGAAGACGTTGTGAGGTAGAAGCGGAGAAAAATCAAGAAGCCTTGATCAACATGATGGGGACTTTGCATTTAAATGCATTGTCAAAGGAGTTTGAACCCTTGGGATTAGATGCGGCGGATCAAACGGATTTACTTAGTAGAATCCGTTTGGCTCAAGAAAAGGACCAAGATCTGAATAAGTGGGCGGAGAAAAACAAGACGGAGTACCAAACTTCTAACAATGGCACCATTGTTGTTAATGGTCGGGTATGTGTTCCAGACATTAAGGAGTTAAAGGAGGAAATCCTTCGTGAAGCTCATCAATCTAGATTCTCCATTCATCCGGGACTGCACAAAATGTACCACAACCTTAAAAGTACTGTCATTGGGTAGGGATGAAGAAGGACGTAGCGAGATGGGTTGCCCAGTGCCCGACATGCCAACTAGTTAAAGCGGAAAGCCAAGTCCCAAGTGGACTAGTTCAGAGTTTACCCATGCCGGAGTGGAAATGGGATCACGTGACGATGGATTTCGTTACCGGATTGCCAAGGAGTCCAGCCAAACATGACGCAGTTTGGGTAATAGTCGATCGATTGACCAAGTCAGCCCACTTTGTTGTGGTTTCAGAAACAGACGGAGCCGAACGGATTGCGGCAAAGTACATTGAGGAAATAGTTCGACTACATGGAGTTCCCGTCAGTATTGTATCGGATCGGGATACCCAATTTACTTCGCATTTTTGGAAGGCTTTCCAAAAAGCTTAGGAACGAGGGTGAATATGAGCACGGCGTACCATCCACAAACTGACGGACAATCTGAACGAACCATCCGAACCCTAGAGGATATGCTAAGAGCATGTGCACTTGATTGGGGTGGAAGTTGGGAGAAACACTTAAAATTAGTAGAGTTCGCATACAATAATAGCTATCAAGCTAGCATTGGTATGTCGCCTTACGAAGCGTTATACGGACGAGCATGCCGAACGCCTTTATATTGGACACCGGTGGGCGAACGGATGTTGTTTGGTCCGAAGATTGTAGACGAGACGAATGAAAAGATGAAGTTCCTTAAGGTTAAGTTAAAGGAAGCACAAGACCGACAGAAAAGTTATGCGGATAAGCGTCGGAAGGATTTGGAATTTGAGGTGGGAGATCTAGTTTATCTAAAAGCGGTAACCTACAAGGGAGATGGCCGATTCTCCTAAAGAAAGAAGTTAAGCCCAAGGTACGTAGGGCCATATAAGGTAATCAAACGAGTTAGACCGGTTGCATACAAACTTGAACTACTGCCGAAGTTGGATGCATTCCACAAGGTCTTTCACGTGTCACAACTCCGAAAATGTTTAAGTGAACGGGATGAGCCCGTTGCGGACGTTCCTATCGAGTTACAAGAGAACTTAACAGTAAAGGCAAAGCCGATTTGGATCATTGACCGAATGGAGAAAGGTACTCGGGGAAAAAGAATTAAAATGGTGAAGGTACTATGGGATTGCGGAGGAAGAGAGGAAGCTACGTGGGAAACGGAGAATAAGATAAGGGCTGATTTTTCCGAATGGTATAAGGAGATAGGTAAGGAGGAACTTGAGTCGGATTCGGGGACGAATCCCATTCAAGGGGGGAGACTTGTAGCGTCCGCGATCCTTAATAGGATCGCCGGATAAGACTTAGTCCGAGAAAGAAGTAGGAATCTTGGACAAGTCTAGAAAGGAGCTGCCCATCAGCTCGGGAAGGTCAAATCGGAGTATATTGAGCTAGAACGAACGAGCTAACCAGCTGGAGCGGTTACTCGGTAGGTCAGGTCAGCTGGACCAGCTACTCGGAAGCTCAGCTTGACGGAACGGAGTGAAGGTCAGCTTATAGAGTGACTACTAGCTGAGTGGGTGCCGAGGGTGACGATTACCACACGTGACCGAATGGGTGTCAAGGAATGGTCATAAGCGAAGAGGCGCCTTAGGGAAAAATGGTTGGAAACGGTTTTCCACCGAAAACTCTATAAATATGAGTCCTTGGGGCGCATTTTTGACACACACGGAAACACAGAAAAATACCGATTCCAGGCCATCTTAGAGAGAAACACGATCATAAGAAGTTTCCGATTCGAGAATTGAGATTCATCGGAGGTAGGCTATCCGTAGGATAATGCCGGTTTGGTGATCTCCGACCGTATGGATGTTATGGGTCGTTAGGGGCTTATGGGTTACACATAGTTCTGCATAACGGTTCATAAGCATACTCATACTCGGTGCATAACTTGGTCTGGAGCGACGGATTGGCTAAGATGGGGATGCGGCTCGGCAAGGAAACGGCGGATCCGCATGGATCTACCGGTTCTAGGCCGAACTGATGCGCTTACTTCCTCTCTCTAGTCTGTTTCCCGAACTAAGTGATTATCGGAACTTAGGGTGCATTGCATGGACTTGCATTCGTAGAGTATATCCGATTACTTACGCCCCTTTGTTTTCAGGAAAAGATGGTGATCGTGGGAAGGGATTGGCTTAGGCGCGAGAGACTCAAGGCCGGAAAGATGGGTGGTGATAAAGTCCGGGTAGATAGGATCGATTGTACGACTTGTAATAGCCTATATGCAAACTCATAAGTTGTACCGAATCTTTTACTTATTAATAAAGTATCCGGATTGTTTGTTTACTTTACGATCGCATATAGACTCTAATCATTACACATAGACTCTAAGTAACGAATCACGAAATGAAACTTAAAAAAACGAATGTTATAAGGAATGGACCCTAAAAATCGGATTAAGGATCGGATCAAGTAGTGATCGGTTCTAGGGAACCTCTCCGGACTTAACTTAGTCGGGGACGGGACCTTACAGAAACCCTCCCCAAGCAGAGGAAGACACAATCCTCCTAATACTTGGGTTAGAGATGAAAGTGCCTATTGCGATATTCACAAAGTAAACAGGTACTCCACCAAAGATTGTAGCGTACTCAAAAAGCACCTCACCGAGCTGTGGACAGCTGGAGAGCTCGCTAATTTCAATATTGAGGAATTTGTTGAGTCTTATCTTAAAGAAAAAGAAGAATCTGAAGCTTCTAATCCTCCTGAAAAGAAACATAACCCCTGTGGATGTAGGATTCACACTCGATTGTCTTTAAGTATTTCAGTGGAGAAAAACTCTTGTAAAATCAGGAAATAAATATGAAAATTTGAAAAGGAAATCAACCAAGAAAAGAAGTAAAGAAATTTGACGAGAACGAAGTACAAAATCCCTTGCAAAAGTAGTAAAAGAGAAAAATGTATTGTATTGCTTAGAAGTAATGAATAATGAGATCTGTCCCCTAAATACATGCATTTGAGGTTGTTTTTATAGAGAAAACATGATCAATGCGGTCATTTACAGCTCATAATCGCATTGATCCGCATTAATCATATAAGTTACAACTTGATCGAAACGGCTTGAATTCAAACTATCTTGGGCTTTGCGTGGATCTTCCAAACTCTTTCTTGTTGACTCCGAACTCCTGCGTCTTGACGCTACCGCGAGCCTCGAACAATATTCTCCTCGCTTCGGCCTTTCTCTATGCGAACTGTATATTGTAAGAGCGAACTCCATACTGGTAAAGATCGAACTCTTTTAGTAAACCGAATCGAACTCCCGACTGGTTAAGCTCGATTCTCATAATAAAATATTTTTAATTCCAAGAGGATTATTATGTAATAATGACGTGGACAGATCTAAGTGGATCCTACCGAAAATGTGTGGGATCCGACCCCAACATTTAGCCCCCCAAGTCTTGCTAGCTGAGTGCTCGGCTTGGAAGACTTAAGTAAACAGTAATTAATCACTCGAGATCTTTAACATTCCATAATTATTCCATGTTTTACGCTATTACGCCGATTTCGGATGATCAAATGATTTGATATCCCTGACAACCGTCATCATTAATTTTATAATTTTATATTAATACTACGGGGAAAACTGTTTTACTTCCCAATATTTTCGAGGCGGTCTTCCGCTAAATAGGGTTAAATAGAACGACGGCATTTACAGCGTACATTCACCCCTGAAAGCTTTTACCAAACCAGAGAAGAGAAAAATTTCTTGGTAAAAAATGTCTTCCCCAGCCGTCTACGTCTCTGACAATGAAGATGACAGCCAAGGAATCCCTGTTCCCAGAGGGGACGAAGTTTTCACCCAAAGGGGAGATAAATTCGGTCCGCATTTCAGGTCTCAATCGACCCATGCTTCCCTTGGCGCTCTCCGTCGCCTTTGTAACATTCCTCAGGAAATAGAATTCTCTCTTCCTAGACCCAACGAATCTCCGGAAATGGTGCGAGAGGGTTACTGTTGTGCGTACGAAGTCTATTTCAAAGGTTGTGGTGTGTTTATTCTAGTACCGGAAGTTCTCCTTTTGTACCTTCTCCATTTAGGGATTGCTTTTCCCCAAATGGCTCCCAACTTTCTTCGATACGTCCTGAGTACCCTGACTGTTTCGGCAGAAGCAGGGTTTTCCCTCTCCACTAGCGAACTCTTAGGGCTATTTCGAGCCCGTGAATCCGCAGCAGCGGGTATTTTTTTCTTTGAACCCTATTCTTGACCGTAACCTGATTGACGGAATGCCCTCGAATGATGGGCCTTGGAGGAAATACTGGTTCTTCTTCCGAGTAAATCCCCATTCCGTCCAAGGTCTTTCCGGCCTTCTTCTCGCAAATTGGTCGTCTAAACTTGGTTAGAACCAACTCCTATTACTTTTCACCGAACTGTGTAAAAGAAATAGAGTTCTTAACTCAACATTTTATTTCAGGGAACCAGACGATCCCCTGCCCAACTGTTGACTTCTTATCTTTCTTTCGAATCGTTTCCGAGGGTGAAACAAATTGGAATTCCTTCACCCTTCAACGCATTCATAAGGCGGGGCTCGCCATCAAAGACGGTCAAACTCACCCCCTCGATCCTCCTCCCAAAGAGAAAGACGTCTCGAGCCTGAATGCTCGAGATAAAAGAAAAATGCAAACCGAAACCAAGGCTCTTAAAGATCAGTTGTTCAAAATCGGGAAAAAGAAACAGATAGCTGCAATCTCCAGGGTTGGTAACTTCCACAGGAAGACCCTCTTGGTTGATGATGGTTCATTAGAAGCGGCCTCGTCAATCGCGGTGGATACTCATGGAGCCGAGATTCTTAACGACCCTCCAGTCGCCACCGCAATTTGCCCTTCCGAACAAGAGCGAGAGGGAGAAGTAACTTCCTCTCCTTGTACAAAGAGGAAGGCTCCAGACTCGGATACTCTATCAAACGAGAGACTCAAAACCGTGAGATTAAGTTCTCCGCCACGAGTCCCTAGCCCTTTGCATTCTGTTTTTCCCTCTTCAGAACCTTTAGACTCTGAGCTCCCTCTTCCGGGAGACAGAGTAATTCCAGAGGAAATCGATGAGCCGAGACCGGAGGCTCCCTTATCTCAAGGACTGAGTGTTTGGACTCAAAATCCTTTACCCGCTTCGATTTCAGGTAAGTTTTTATTTAGAAAGCGAGCATTAGCAAGCCTTGTTACGGATTGCAGCTATTTTATCAATCTGCTATTCTCCTCTGCTTTGTAGGCGGAGAAGAGATTGGAGACATCTTCCGAAGTTTCCAAACTAGGGAAGGGGCGTCCCTTCCTCCTTTTTCGGTTTGTAGGCCAGAAATCCGTCAGATGTTTGCCAAACGAGCCTGCTACCTATCCCAGGTTCAGATCTTTTAGATTATGACAACCCCTCTTTCTTAGGTAAAATTTTTTTTGTCTTAATGACACACTTTTTTTTTACTCCGAAGGCGTTTATGGAGACTAATGGAATGATCTTCCATTATGAGAACCTTCTTCACCAAGCGAAGAGAGAGACCGCAACGGCTAAGAAGGAGGTTGATGAACTTAGATTAGTCAATCAGTCTGAGCGGCTTGAGCAGGCAAAAGCACTCGAGTCATCTTTTGAGAACATGAAGAAAACTCTAGTAGCTAATGAGCAACGTATCAGAATTGCGAACGCTGAAAGAGATTCTGCGAGGTCTAATGCTCTTTGCTTGGAGGCTGAGCTATAAGAGACTACGGCTTTGTTCGAAGAGGCGAATCAAGAGATTGAGCTTTTAACTAGGAACAGGGCTCGTGATATCGCTGAAGCCGAACATAACGCTCGAGAAGAGATGAGGGGATTCGGTAGGCAACTTATTCAATCTGTTACGAAGTTCACCAAAGATGAAGAGGTCTGGACTAAAGAGTCCGAACACTTTTCTTTATATATTATTCCTTTAAAGAGTCCGAACACTTTTCTTTAAAAGAATTCTGGGAGACTCGCAGTTTTTTGTAAGAAAAACGAGACTATGCCGCTATCCTCTTTCAGATCCAGTTCAAGAGTAACAACCTCAAGCGGGGATCCATTATTTGAATCCGAAGATGGATTTTCTCCCAAGGGAGTTATTCACCCCATGTTTTTCCATTTTCGAACGGAGAAAGAAAGGGTCCAATGTTATGACTTCCTGGAAAAGGTTCCCTTTCTGATTTTTAGTCTTTTCGGGAGAATGTAAACTCTTTTTCGACCAGTTAACAAAATGTTTGTTCAAACAGGTCGTCGGGAGACATAAAGCTTTATGTGATAAGAGAAAAAGAATCGGAAGAAGGCGCCGTGCTCTTGATGAGCGCATAAAGAGGATGGAAAGAGAGATCCTTTGCCTAGAATCTGAACTGCATGAATGGGAGAGGAACGGTTTAGACATCGTGGCCATTATTCCTACTTGCCTCCGAAGATTCCTCCGTGTGCTGGATAAATTTTTTCATCTATCCTTGGCAACCGGCGACGGATCCTCTTTTGTTTCATGTTCTTCAGAATTTCAGAGATTTCCGTTGTTAAGAACTGAAGAAAATGAAGGACCAGAGGAGAAATCTATTGATCATCCTTCCGGTCCCCTCGATTTATCTTCCGACGAGGGACTTTCTTCAGAAAGCTGTTCGGGATCGTCCACCTCGCTGGAATCGTTATCAGGCGAAGACTTCTGATCGAACAAGTCCCTTGATTTATTTTTTGTTTGTAACAAAGATATTGGGCTAGGGGCCCGGTGATATTAATTACATTTCCCTTTTGCTTTAAATTTGCCGATTTACTTAAATCTTATTTAATGCACTTATTTAGGGAATACAATTAGCGATTAACTCGATTTTATTTTCCATAGAAGTAGTAATTTCAGATTTTTGGGAAATCGTCAGTTAACCCTCTTAAATGTAGTCGAGTATTTTTCTAGTATAAAGCAGATGTAGATTGTTATTGAATTTAATCAACAATAATTCTACAAAAATGTTTGAGGAAGGTAATTTCTCAGAGAATACCTCCGACTCGATTAAAAAGATAAGCTATGATCTTCCGGAAACGTCAGGCATCGATCTTGTAAAAATGGAAGCCAACAGCTGTGGAAGTCGAAACTAACACAATCGAGATTTGTCTAGGGTTTTAATTTAGGGATACGATTTGCGAGAATTCTCAAAGAACGACAGAATCAATTGATACCAAAGATGGTGTTCTTGATATTATTAAGAAAAAGATGACTTTGATCGTACAAGAGTTTGATCGTAAAAGAAAAAGGTGTTTGTGCTGTGAGAGCTTTGCGTAGTGTAAATTCTAGAGCGATATTGCTTGTCCTTCTGTGAGAGCCTTGAGCCTCTTTATATAGGGATGGTAAACCGCCTCTCCAGCGATATTCTCGGAAGATTTCCATTTATCTTGAAGTCGGCTTAGAATATTGCGGATAAGGATACTTTCCTTATTCTTCGGAGGCTTTTGGAAGATTTCCTGATTTGCAAAGATCCTTCAAGATTATTCCTTATCATTTCCGAGTATCTCGGAAATGATCCTTCTTTTTCGGAAATGATGCCGTTCTATTCGGAAGTGATACTATGGAAGTGAATTTTTAACCAAGTCTTTGCCTCGGGTGACTCTGAAGACTTCACCTCAGGTGACTCTGATGACTTCACCTCGGGTGAAACTGAAGACTTCGCCTCGGGTGACTTTGCAGACTTCGCCTCGGGAACAATACACATTTCACCTCGGGTAGCACTGAGACTTTGCCTCGGGTAGCACTGAGCCTCGGGTAGCACTGAGACTTTGCCTCGGGGTAACTGTAGTATAAGGCTCGGCAGTGTACCCCGAGCTGACTGGCAGGGTACCCGAGCTGACTGGCAGACTGACTGGCAGGTTACCCGAGCTGACTGGCAGGGTACCCTAGCTGACTGGCAGACTGACTGGCAGGGTACCCGAGCTGACTGGCAGACTGACTGGCAGGTTGACTGGCAGGTTGACTGGTAGGGTACCCGAGCTGACTGGCAGATTGACTGGCAGGGTACCCGAGCTGACTGGCAGACTGACTGGCAGACTGACTGGCAGGTTACCCGAGCTGACTGGCAGGGTACCCGAGCTGACTGGCAGGGTACCCCGAGCTTATTAGCAGGATAACCCGAGGTGTTGAAGTTTGGCTCGGTCTCAAAGGATGGGTGAAATCCGACCCCAACAGTTAGCCCCCCAGCTCGTTGACTTGGGGAGCAAGTGTGACGAGCTTCATGAACAGGCTGACCGAGCCGTTTACCATTCCCGGTGCTTCATCCCTGACGATTCACATCTCTTCGGGATAATGAGGTGGCTCGCGCGAAGAAGGCCGCCAAGAGGGAGGTCGCCGCCGAATTTACCGATGAAGTCATGGCATCCATGGCGAAAGTTGCTCTATTCGACCAAGTGTGCGACCGATACATGTACTTTATGCAGGAGAAAGCCAATGATGAGTTGATCGCCGAGCTGGAGAACAACAAGAAGATTGAGAATGGGAAGAAGTGTTGAAGTGGAAGGCGGAGTATGCCGATGCTGAGGCTGAATACATCAGACTTGGTTCTTGAGCTACAGGAGGATCTGAAGGTTTTCCTAGGGTCTCCAGACTCTGTCCACGAAAACCTCGGAAATAGATCGATTAAAGGCAACGCAGTTGAAGTAGGTGTCACCGACTTAGGGATCAAGTGTAACGAGCTTCATGAACGAGCAGACCGAGTTGTTAACTTCTGCTTCGAGTCGCCAGTGAACCTAAGGCGGCACTCTTAGAACCGTCCTTTTTCTTCTTTTTTGGTTGTAGTGTAAGATTGTGCATGGATGACTTTGTCGTTGTATTTTTGCAAAGTAAATACAAACGCTATTTTCAAAGATCCTTGTCTTCGAAGAGAATACAATGATTTTGAATAGTTTCCGTATCGAAACATCTTTTTGTCCTAAGTAAAAAAGGAATTATGTAGCCGGAGCGAAAGATAGATACCAGTGTTAAGATAAACTGGGTTTTAGTAGCCGGAGCGAAAGATAGGTACCAGTGTTAAGATAAACTGGGTTTTAGCAGCCGGAGCGAAAGATAGGTACCAGTGTTAAGATAAACTGGGTTTTAGCAGAAAGATTTGAACGTTCACGGTCGCGACCCGATTCGATTCAATCGATAACCAGTGCTTAGAAGCGAACTGGGGCACCAATGTTAAGATTTTACTGGGGTTTCTGAAGACAATTTCATCTTTGGTCGGATATCTTCGACCAGATTGTCTCGAATATTTATATAGCGCGCTGTAACCGTGGAGGTGTAGATGAATTTAGTTCGCGGGCGTGGCCATCGCCCAAACGAACCGAACGGAGTTTAGACCGTGTTGATTTCCTGAGGCGAGTTTCGGGGTAAAGACCGAGGTAGGTTTAGTAAAACCCGAAGTGTATACTTAGAAATATAGTTTGATAAAATTTGAATAGGAGTATAGGAAACGTATAATTGATAAAGTTTGAGTGGGAGTATGGATATACGGACCCCACTCTTCCCCCCCCCCCCCTTTTTGATAAGGGGAGGTAGCTGAACTCGTCCGAGGACGAGCTGCCTACGTACCCTTTTCGGGGATCAAGCCACCCCGTAGTTCAAGCTTATGCGTACCTTAGGTTTTTAGCGGTAGTATTTCCTGAGGTGTTTCCACAACTGGGATAGTTTCGGCCTCCTCGGGACCAGTTGTGACGGCAATGGGGTTAGGATTCGTCATCTCCACCTCAGGCTCATCAGTCGCTTTGGGAGGAGCAAGAGTTCCGAGAACGGCCTCCAGAGCTTTCTTCTCTACGGCCGCCTTCTTTTCTGCAAGGTACTTCTCCTTGCTTCGGCCAATCTTCGCCTTTTTATGATTGACCTCGACTTTAGATTCGGCGACGATGTTTCGAAGTTGATGTGCTGCCATGAAGCACATCCTGGAATTCTTTTGGCTTCCCCATATCGTTTTCACACCGTTAGGCGTCGGGAATTTAAAGCAGAGATGGTATGTGTGAGACCCCGTCCCGGACGTCTCGGCGTCCGGCGACCATGGTCACACGTTCGTGCCTCTTCCCGGCCGAACCTCCATATTTTTCGCGATTTAACATAGAATTGCCTTTACGAGGCTTACTTCTGTAATCGCTTTCTTAGTACCCAGCGGAAGTCTTTCTACCCTTGGTTTAATTCCAACCAACCCTTGTACCGGTTTGATCATCTTTGTCCCTTAGACTTTAGATCGATCATTAACTCGGCCAAGTCATGCAATTTGTTCGCTAACCATTCTAAGTCTAACGATTGCATATTCTTTGTATCCCTAATCCAACGGCCAATTCCCAAACGTCTATCTTAACTAATAAGTTAGATGCGTTTACATACCTTGGCCTACATGCTGATTTGATTCCTCTTCGATCCGTCTATTGATCCTTCTCTTAGCCCTCTCGTCGCCTTATTCCATTCGTACAACGATTCTTAACCAATTGTGTATTGATGGACCAATCTCTATCGTTACTTAGCCATTCATCCAACCAACCCCACTGGTCTAAGTCCCTACGATAGAGATTGGGGATCATACGTTTTTCTTGGTTCACGGTGGCCGAATCAAGCTCTTGGCTCATTGGTCCATCCGCCCTCCAAACGTACGCCCCTTCGGTTTCATGGTGGACGATCAAGCCCTCGGCTTATCGAACCATCCATGTTTTCGATCCGGTCGTTTATCACTACGACCGCCCACGGTCTACTAACCGTTTACC